TTCCAAAACTATCGATGTAGAAGTTTGACACTATGATGATCCTTTATATTATTGAGAAACTACATAATTCATTGATTCTTAAAACTACCTGCATTATATGTTTAAGTTATCTAAATAAATACAGCGTAAATCTGCAAATCAATACATTGTCTCTTCGTAAATATGCATCTGTGGATCGCCAAAAGCCAAATTATCAAACCTTCGTGATTCCAAAGTAGGTGGCGCTGCAGTATCACCATTGCAACGAACAGCATGCAAATTTTATAAAACTGTAAAAACTAAAATAAGCAGCAAAGCAACACACGTTAAAAACTAAAACAAGTACGGTAAAGCTGAAAAGCAATTAAAGCCGGGCACTATTGCCTCGTACGGTACGGCAGTTGTACGACCGTCGGCTGACGAATCCAACCCGGCAACCTGTGAACATAAAGCTGGGCTTTAGAGGCTTCGGTGCGGCGCTTATTCGAGAGCGGCGATTATTTAAAAAAAAAAAAAAAAACAGTATTTGCGTGGCGCTTTCCATGCCCTTTCCTATGTTAAGCCTGTTTTCCACTAGGCAAATTTATTCGCGCGAATCGAAAGCGTTTCGATGGTCTAAACCAAATTTAGCCAAATGTAATGTTGCATTGAATCTGAATACCTTGAATTGTCTGTTACGCTTTATTAGTAGATATTAATTATTCACGAATTATTCTGATTGTTGCACCTGGTCGGTTATTCCCATATGCCTATAAATATGTTACATTTATATAGATCATTAATCGACATTTCTTTTGGCCTCAAATCGGCCTTTTATTGAACAAAAGGCTTTTTAAGCGTCGAAAGTCTGGATATGATAAGAAACAGCGGTTACCACACTCCCTTAACAAGGATGAGTTACTATTGCAGCCAAAAGTCCAGGGGCTTCCAAAATCTAGTGGGTTAGTTGGAAGACCTATTGTAGGTGTGAGAGGGACTGAAATATTGTTTAATCTAATAATAGGCCTAATTAATAATAAGCCAACAATTATTCATTATTCATTAAAAATACTTGTTATTGTTGATTATTTATTGAGTATTTCTTATTTATTATGATTGCATAATAATTAAATTTATAAAATATAATAAATAATTGTTGGTGGTCGTTGGCTGTTTAATTATAACTGATTAGGCGTAATTGACAATAATTTCACCGTCATTGTAACTGCCGTCATATTATAAAACTTTTTTATTATTATCATCATCATTATCGTTTATTGTTATTTTTTATTATTTATCGTTATCCCCACATCACTACCAAAATCATCATCATTATCATTATTGTTATTATCATAATCATCATCATAATCATCATCATCATCATCATCACCACCACCACCACCGCCACATCATCACCATCATTTTCGTGTTGCCACAACAAGCAAAGTGGACAAATTGAAAAATAGATGTTCAACATTAATGAAAACAACACTACAAAAACGTCTGTGATGAGCTTACATCAAGTATTTTTACCAACGATGAGCGCAAAAATATTTAATGTAATAAAAGGTCAATTGCCTAATTTTTATACAGTAGGCCTACTCATGGATGTCAGACATAACAACTAAAAATTATCGGGTGACTGGTGGTTGGCATTGGAAATGAACCCTAGGATTACACCAACCATTAATTTTCGAATGTGGCCGCTTTGTTTTGGAAACATATTTTAGGCTTAAAAGGAACCTAGAAAGAGGGTATTTTTTCTATAGGGGATTTTTGATATGTCATTAGTAATATAGAATCAACTTTAAAATCGTTTTTCGGCAATTTTTATGAAGTGTTAGGCCATGGACTTACCCTTTGGCAGCGTGACGCCAGTTTCATACTGTAACCAAAATTCGTACGATGTTGTTAATATTTTTGTAGTGTTTGCCTTTCATAGATAACGTGTCGTCACACTATTGTGACGGTATTCCTGGAAATTCCCATTTGCAAGTTAGAATTTAGTACTGAGGTGTAAAAACAATTTTTGAAAGTTTGTGTATGCATTTGAAGTTTGAACCCTGTCGTAGTTTAAATTTGGTAAAAATAATATCGTTCGTAATTCACTCCCATATAATTTCCATTCCTTAGTAAAGTTTGCAAGGTAAGTAGAGTAGGCCTAGGTAGGTCCGCAATTGATTGGCCTTTCATTTGCTACCGGTTGGGACTGGGTCGGAGAGGCAGGTGCAATAGCAGCACGCACTTCCGTGGTTAGCTAGGTCAAGTCTCAGGTAGCCCTTTTTGGCCATTTAAAGCAGAAACCAGTACGAAAACAGTTGCTACAGCAACATGGTAAATTAAAGTTGGAGCTTTTATGTGATTGTATTGTGTTTGAAATATAGCCAATATACATATATATATATAATTTTTTGAGCATATATATATATATATATATATACATATATATATGTATAGTATAAAGATGTATCATTGTGAAATGATCGTGGTGAAGGCGAATATTTCGTCCACTCCATCAGCATAAGTCTGAGTCAGGGTAAGTCTGGCGCTGATGTCCACAGGAGTGGATAAAATATTTGTGTTAAATAGATTATGTTCCAAAAATACATCAACTTGACTTTTGTTTTTATTGTCATCGCCTTCATCAATATATATATTACTTTACTGTATATCTTTGTACGGGGAATTCAATTGTCACAGGCGCATCATTTTTTACTTATAGAACTAAGTGATGTCTGCTGAAAAAAGTCTTTCTCAGTTCCTCGACAACCTGGATGATAAGGTCTTAGAATGTGCAGTTTGTTTAAAAAGACTTCAACAACCAACAACATTGCCATGCCTCCATGCCTTCTGCTTGTCCTGTCTTCAGAATTGGGTTAAAAAGAAAGATGGGCTCGTCTGCCCTACATGCTCCCACTCATACACAATTCCTGAAGGCGGGCTTCAAAAGCTGCCGCCAAATACATTCATCCTCAACTTATTGGAAAGTGTTGAACAACTCGAAAAAAGAGACAAAGTCAATTGCTTATGTGGTAAAAACTATGCTGTTTCTTATTGTCAGGATTGTAAAAAGGGTTTATGTTCTTCTTGCAAAGACCACCATAAACTGATTCCTGTATTGATTGATCATGTACTTCATTCGATTGAAGATGTCCAATCTATGACTCCACTTGAGCTTTCATCTTTAAATGTACCCCAATGTTCAATACACAAGAACAAATCTTTGGAGTTCTATTGCAAAGTTTGTGAAATGCCTATTTGTACAAACTGTGCTCTTACAGACCACAAGGAATGGGAAGGAAAGCACAAGCACATTGATATCACTAAAGCTTTTAAAGGATTTCAGGAGAGAACTGTTCATCTGAAGCAAGATGTTGAGAATTTCACCGCAGCAATGAAGGCTAAAATAAATAATGTTCAGCATAAATTAACCAGACTTGATAAAAACAAACAAACATGTAGAAATGAGGTCACCACATTTGCAAAACAAATGATAAATTCAATCAGGAAAATGGAAGAATCTTTACTTAAAGAGCTAGATGTATTGTATCCCAAACAGAAAAAGAGTTTTGACATCAAACTTGATGAACTAAGTAGAATAACATTAGATGTAAACACAAGATGGAACTACATTTCACAATTATTGAAGAGCAACAAAGCAACTGCTTTGCAATCAAGTCACAAGGCCATGACATCACTTCAAGAAACAATGAAGGCGTTGGTGGATACAGAACCAGAAAGTGATGACGTAATACACTTTATGAAGGAAAAGAAATCATTTAGCATGCTTCAAAAAAATGGAATAGGATATATTGTTCAAAACCCCAAGTCTTGTTTCAAGATACCTGTTGAATCACTGGTTGTTACCAAGGGGCAAATGTTCATTTTAAAACTATGTGAAGGTAATAAAACTGATGGCCATATAACATCAAGACTAACTTTCAATGGCTTGAACATTAAATCTAAAGTTGAACACCAAGATGAAGAGTGCACTGTTACAGGAACGTGTCCAAATTCAGGTGTTTACAAACTAGATGTTAGTTTAAACAATGAACCAATCACAGGATCTCCGCTTCTGATTATTGCATTGAATGAAGGACTACACAGAAGTTTTGAGATGAAGCAAAAAGTAACAGATGTTGTGATGACTAATGATGGAGAATTTTTGGTTGCATATCAGTCAAATCAGGTTATTAAAATTAAAGATTTTGAATTAGGGACTGTACAATTTAATCTATCTATACCTAAAAGTGCAACAGTTAATAGAATGCACAAACTTAAAAATGGTAACATCATATTCAGTGATAGAAGCATTAAGTGCATTACAATATGCAATCCAGGTGGTCAGGTGATCAAATCAATTGGTAAAAGTGTTCTAAGAGATCCATGGGGCGTTGTTGTAAACAAACACACCAATATGATTTATGCTGCAGACTCTTTAAAAGATTGTGTATTTGTCTTTGATCCAAACGATTGTTTGAAAACCAAAACATTTGGGTCTAGGGGTGATTCACTTGTTAAGTTAAATAGGCCTACTGATATCACACTTACAAAGGAAGGAAATGTCATTGTAGCAAGTGCATACAATCACAAAGTACAAATGTTTGACAGTGAAGGCTCATTTCTTAAAGTTCTTGTTGAGAATGGTACTGAAGATGGCAAAGTAAAATGTCCTTGTGGTGTTTTAATAGATAAAGAAGAAAACCTTCTTGTAGCAAGTGAACATAAACTTCAGCTTTTTAGTAAAGATGGAGAATTCATTAAGAGAATTAGTAAAGAGTGTGATGGTTTAAGGAGCCCATATGGCTTATGTATAATGTCTCAATATCCACGTAGAGTTGTGGTTGCAAACTGGGGAAATGAAAATGTGAAAATATTTAATTACTAGAGTAATGTTTTATTCATTAAAATACTAGTATAAGATTGATAATTAATCTGAAATTAATTGAAATTCATTACATTGTGTTATATTATATAATATATATATATATATGTGTGTGTATATATATAGTATATATATATATATATATATACATATATATATGTATATGTGTATATATATATAGTATATATATATACACTATATATAAACACATATACATACACACACACACACACACACACACACACATATAT